CTTTCCTTCACTGCCTTCTGTACGAGATTTTCTAGCTCTCCTTCCGTGTTTGCTATCAACATTGTTGTCGAGATTGTGGTCGGTAGGACCTCTAGGTCTCCTAGAATCGCCTCCATGTATAGGTTGAATAAGTCAAGTAAGAATTTACCGATAGTAAAAATCCTATAAACACAATTATTATTACGTCAATTTATTTCGTAAACTCAGAGATGCAAAAGAATTTTTTTTTAAATCCTTATTTCATGACGAATGTTAACAAACGTCCCTAGATGTCTTGTTATTTTACCACTGACATCAGAACATATCCTTAAAATCATCCCTTTTAATACTGTTTGCAGGACGGATTTCTCGCCTACATACAAATTTTGTTTTTTGGTTGTCTTAAGCGACTTAAATAACACAAGTATTGTTAAGAATGAATAATATACACGTAAGGCACCTGCATCCTTGTGCAAATTACTTGAAACAAAACGAACAATTCCGTTATTTACTTTTTTTCGTATTTTTCCAGTGATCCAATGTTAGTACTTTCCATGTCCATTCCACAAAGTCTTTCCTTGCAGATTGACCACAGAATCTCGATTGGATTTAAATCAGAAGAGTTTCCAAACCAGTCTATAGTACTATGATTTGATCACTGGTAAGACTTACCAGTGTGTTTGTGCAGCGTTACAATTTTCGTACAATTCCTTGGAGAAACGTCCAACGCAGACAATGGCTGCAGTACAACTAATCGACAGTCCAGACAATAGTGTCTGGACGTTATAAAAATTTGATGCAATCACGGATGACGCAATATTTTTCAAGGCGAAACAAATTTCATCATACACCCCGAAAATAGATTCATATTACTGCACACCACTGCAAATGACCTAATCTGAGGAAAAATAGAAATCGATTACACCCTGTCACTCCAGTGGGTCTAAAACTGACCGTATGGTGAAAGAAAAGAAACTAAAGCAGTTGTTTCAATTCATTTGCACAAGGGTGTAACTATTTACCCCTGTCTTAATGGTTTGATAAGATTAAATTGGCAGCGGATCTAAAAAATGACCTACAATCTGTTGTTAACTGGGGCAAGGAAAGACTTGTTAATTTTAACACTTCCAAAATGAAACTGCTCTCTTTTAATCGTCTGATATAATTTTTTGCCTTCCATCAGTATGGTTGATGTCAAACTCCAAGAGAAGGACTCCTTTCACCTTCTCAGGCTAATGTTTTCTGTTGACAAGAAGTGGAAAGATTTTATTGAATCAATTGCTAGGTTTGCTGCTAAGAAAGTGTCATGCTAGACAATTTTTCTCTCCAGATTCATATTACTGCACGCCACTGCAAATGACCTACACTGAGGAAAAAATAGAAATTGATTACACCCTGTCACTCCAGTGGGTCTAAAACTTACCATATAGTGAAAGAAAGGAAACTAAAGCGGTTGTTTTAATTCATTTGCACAAGGGTGGGGTCTAAGATATCTGAATACAACAACAGCTACTACGGTTTTCATCTGGTAAAAACATCAACAGTTTTTTTTTTCTTTTTTAATTTCCATCCGGAATTTTAAAATGCTCCTAATAATCGGTGATTTCATAGTAAGTAATATTTTACGATTTTCGCTTGATGACACGTTGTTTAATCAGATTTTATGGCGAAAAGCGTCCAGAGTTTGAGCCTAAAAATGACAAAATTATCAACTTTGCAATTCCTCCTGCAATTTTCCAAAATTCTGAATGTTGAACTAAAATAATTTTATGTACCAATCAAAAAATCAATTTTTAAAAGACAAATTGTATTGATATTTAACGAAGCTCGTACTTTCATTCTGTCTGCATTAAAAGCTGATCTTTCCCCATCTTGGCTGACTCTGTCATGTGACCACAATTATGGCGACTCAATGTAGACTATTAGTCACAAAATGCAGCGATGTGTCTAATAATAAATCAGTCATTTACTAAACTTTGCTTAGTTTGGCAAAAGGCCGAATAGCAAAAGATCGATCGATTGATTGCATTATTTATTTTTACGGCTTATCAAATATTCGCGGGTTATTTAAAAACGAAAACATATGCTGGATTATGAGTGAATATCCATTTCAGTCAGTTAGGTGCCATGCGTGATACACGCTTAGGTGATCATGCATCTTTCGAAACATGACTGACGAGGCAGACTTTTTCCTCCGCAACAGGTTACTGTTTCTTTCTGCGGTTTGTCCTGGGATGAGAAGAAGAGGAGCTATACCTTTCCCATTAGTATTATCACGTAAATGAATGTAATGGATTCGACTGGAATTCGAACTCGGCTCTTTAATTCCAGTCGCTATCCATTACTCCACCATGCCTATTACATTAACGATTTTATGAGAATAACAATATTTTTTTTTCAGATACAAGTCCCACTGTGGGAGCCATAACCGAAGTAGATGAAATTGTCATGGTAATTTACCCACGCACACATGGCTTCTTCCAGCTATAAATAGGAGCAGGTACTGCTTTTTGGAGAGGGAAGTTTCTAGCAGTCAGCTCTGACAGTAGGACCGAACATTCTTGCTGTAAAACTCTCGTTTGTATATGTTTGTATTACTGTTTCTTTTAATATATTTGTTTAACTCAATTACTCTTTTGTGTCTTTGTTTCTGGCCCTAACAAGGCCACAACAGAAGTCATACTTTTCCTGGGGATAATTGAGCGTGAATTTAAGTGAATGAATAGCGCAGAGGAAGTTTGTCTGCTTTTATTTGTCTACTTTGAAAATCCTTATTAGAAATGGTCGAATGGTTAGCAAATTCGCTTTCTGACTATGACACCTGGCTTCGGATCACACCTATTATCGGTCTAGCGTGCGGAACATTCGGAAAATACCTGAAAACAATACCCACGGTCGACCCAAGCCTTGGGAGTGAAATTATGTATACGGAACTCACTGAAAGCCGCCGATAGTTGAGAAAGTAGGAAAAATTTCCTTCTTCAGACTGTGGATGCAGTATAAACCACAGGTGGGCTCAGTGGGTGTTGAACAAACACAAAATATGCCTGATCAGGCGTCTGCAACAGGGATTGACAAGCCGTTCTAGTAGATCGGCAACATCGGATATATTAGAAATTTTAATTAGAAACTTTAACCATTTGTGCCTCTGGTTACAAACCTCTTAGCTTCTAAGAAGTTTACAGATATTTACTAATCATAATATAGTAATAGGGTACTTTTTTACAGTAAAGTTCACTTTCTACAGGGCCCGGGGTTGGGGGCAATCGAGGTAGAGGGTTACGTTAGTAGGCAGTTTGCGCGGATAGGAGCGGAAGGTAACGGTTAACCCTTGCCTTGAACAGGCTAAGACTGTAGTGATCGGGGAAACATCCTCTTGGGAGTCGGTCCTAACGAGCGGAGGTAGAAGCGGTTAGAGTAGAATTTACTTCTCATCGATGGAATACGGAGGGAATGTGGGTGGTTCACTACGATGTAAGTGGCATGGCGTGTTCTTGCCGTGAAGAGACCAGGGAATGTAGTTCGTCCGAGTACTTTTAAATATCGGGCCAATTTTCTCGCATATTTGATGTCAACCACGATATTTTTCGCATTATTTCAAATTAAAAATAATATCGAGATTGAGATAAATGTCTACTAGCGTGCTCACACACACACGCACACACACATGCATGCATGCATACATACACACGAACACGCGGGCGTGCTCACACACACACACACGAACACACACACACATGCATGCATACACATCGAACAAACACAGTGCTTTACACACGCACACACGCACACATGCATACATACACACGAACACATGGGCGTGCTCGCACACACGCACACGCACACACACATACATGCATACATACACACGAACACACGGGCGTGCGCTCACACACACACATACATACATATACATGAACACACGGGCGTGCTCTCACACACACGCACACACACATACATGCATGCTCTCACGACACACGCACACACACACACAGATACATACATACATACACACGAACACACGGGGGTGAGCACACACACACACACACACACATACATGCATACATACACACGAACACACGGGCGTGCGCGCGCACACACACACACACACACACACACACACATGCATACATACACACGAACACACGGGCGTGCTCACACACACACACACACACATACATGCATACATACACACACAACACACGGGCGTGCTCTCTCACACACACACACACACACATACATGCATACATACACACGAACACAGGGCGTGCTCACACACACACACACACACACACATACATGCATACATACACACGAACACACGGGCGTGCTATACACACACACACACACACATACATGCATACATACACACACAGGCGTGCTCACACACACACACACATACATACATGCATACATACACACGAACACACAGGCGTGCTCATACACACACACACGAACACACACACACATGCATGCATACACACGAACACACGGGCGTGCTCACACACGCACACACGCACATACATGCATACATACACACGAACACATGGGCGTGCTCGCACACACACACACGCACACACACATACATGCATACATACACACGGGCGTGCGCTCACACACACACACATACATACATGCATACACACGAACACACGGGCGTGCTCACACACACACACGCACACACACATACATGCATACATACACACGAACACACGAGCGTGCGCACACACACACACAGATACATACATACATACACACGAACACACGGGCGTGCTCTCTCACACACACACACACATACATACATGCATACATACACACGAACACACGGGCGTGGGCACACACACACACACAGACATACATGCATACATACACACGAACACACGGGCGTGCGCACACACAAAGATACATGCACACTTTGCGAGAAAAGCAGGCAGAGTCGCGATAGAGTGATTAGGCTTTTATTTATTCAGGTCCATTTCTCTTTTATTCTACTACTTGTTTTTTTAATACTTTTTCTTTCAATGATTTTTTCTTTCTTTCTTTCTCTTTCTTTCTTTCTTTCATTCTTTCTTTCCTTCTCTTTCTTTCTCTTTCTTTCGATTCTGATTGCTATTTTTTGCTTAGTTTTCATTTCTCTATTTTTATTTTTTACTTGTCTTTTTTTCTAACTTTTTCTTTCTTTCTTTCTTTCTTTCTTTCTTTCGTTTTTTCTTTCGTTCTTTATCTTGCTGTTATTCTTGCTTTCATTCTTTCTTACTTTTTCATTCTTTCTTTTTCTTTCATTCTTTCTTTCTTACTTGCTCCTTCTTTCATTTAGTCTTTCTTTCTTATATTCCTTTTCTTTCTTTCATTCTATTTATTTCCTTCATTCCATTTCTTTCATTCTTTCTTTCTTTCAATTTATTCCTTTCTATTTCTTTCATTCTTTCTTTTTTACTTTCTCTTTTTTTCTTTCGATTTCTTTCATTCTTTCTTTTTTCATTCTTTCTTTCTTACTTTCAATTTCTTTCTTTCACTTTTTCATTCTTTCTTTATTTTTTCACTTTCTTTCATTCTTTCGTATTTCTCTTTCTCTTTCTTTCTTTCTCTTTCTTTTATTCTTTATTCTTACTTTCTCTTTCTTTCATTTCTTCTTTCTTATTTTCTGTTTCTTTATTTCAATTTTTATCATTCGTACTCCATTTTTCATTCTTTCTTTCATTCTGTTTGTTTCTTTAGTTGTTTTTTCTTGTTTTTTCTTCCATTCTTTCTTTTTATTCTTTCTCTCTTATTTTCTCTTTATATATTTCACTTTCTATCATTGTTACTCTTTCTTTCAGTCTGTCTTTCTTAATTTCTCTTTCTTTTATTCTTTTTCTTTCTTATATTCTTTCTTTTATTCTTGCTTTCTTTCATTTTTCTTTCTTACTTTCTCTTTATTTCTCTTTCAATCTTTCTTTCTTACTTTCACTTTCTTTCATTCTTTCTTCCTCTTTAATTTTTCTCTTTTTTCATTCTTACTTTCTCTTTCTTTCTTTCATTCTTTTCTCTTTCATTTATTCTTTCTTTCTATTCTGTTTATCTTTTAATTCTCTTTCTTTTATTCATTTCACATTTTCTCTATTTTCATTTTAGTTCTATTTTTGACTGGCTTCCTTTTCATTCTTTCTAACTTCTTTTTTTTCTTTCTCTTTCTTTCTTTCTTTCTTTCTCTTTCTTTGTTTCTTACGTTCTCTTTCGTTTTTTCTTTCTTTTTGTCGTTTTTCTATACAAGCTATGTTTTTCTTTTTTGTAACCTTTCTTTCTTTCTTTTTTCTTTCTTTCTTTCTTTCTTTCTTTCTTTCTTTCTTTCTAAACATGCTCTCTTTTTCTTTTTCCTAACCCCTCTAATTCTCTTTCTTTCTTTCTTTCTTTCTTTCATTCCTTCCTTCTTTCTTTCTTTCTTTCTTTCTTTCTTTCTTTCTCTCTAGATAAACTCTCTTTTTCTTTTTCCTAACCCTTCTAACTTTTCTTTCTTTCTTTACCCTTTCTTGCTTCTTTCTTCCCACATTTCTCATCCATTCTCTATATCTCCTTCTTTCTTCTCTTTCTTGATTGCTTTTATCTTTCTTTTTTCTTCCTCTCTCGATTTTTCTGCCAAGAGTCGCGCCTCACCTTTCTCTTTTTCTTCTTCTTCTTGCTGTGGTAGAAAGGGAAATTCTGTCTATATTCGTTACCTCAAATGTGATAATAAAATTCCTACTCGTTACTCTTTGAAAGCACATCGAAAGAATTTAAAGCCATTCTATGTCAGGCCATAAATTTTCCTAAACAAACATTTATATTTCCTGCTACACTACAGATTTATCTGCAGACATCATGATACGCAGTAAAATATTCAACTGCATTTAGGTATTATCGCATTCTACATTTTCCGAATTATTCATCTTCCACATAAAAGATCGATTAATTCAAGGTTATTTTGGGAGAAAAAATATTTATACACGAAAGAGAAAATTGATTGATTTCGATTAGCAAGAACAGGGAGCTAGGTTACAAGAAGCAATGAATATCCCTGTGGAACCCCACCTCCTTTGCTGAAGTTATAACCACAAAGTTGACAGAGTGCTTGATCTGAACCCAGTTTTTCTCCGATTTCGAAGATCTTCTACTTACCATTTCTAGGCTGTCAAGAACAAATTTTCAAATTCTTATCTCTATATATCCTCCTTTTTCATTTTCCTTCCTTTAAAAAAAAAAAAAGAAAAAAGAACCTCCTGATTATTTCCGGTGGAAAGGGTTTTGCAATCAGGAAAGGGACAGGAGAATTTAATTCTCACGGGAGCAGAACAGGACTAACATAAGTTTATATCGTATTTCTATCGATAAAGATATAATAGTGATATCATATCAGATAGACATCGATATCATATATAGGAAGCACGGTAGAGTATTGGATAACTGCTCGGATTGTGGAATCGGAGAGCCGAGTTCGAATTCCAGTCAATTACATTCACTTACGTGCTAATACCCTTGGGGAAAATATGAATCCTCTTCTTCTCCCAACCCCAAGACTGAGTTCTATAGCCTTGGGTGGCAACTTGTGTAATGGCAACTGTACCGCAGGAGAAAAACAAAACTGCCTCGTTAGTCATGTATCGAAAGTTACATGATCGCCTATGCGTGTATCGCGCATTCCACATAACTGACTGATCATATATATAGTGGAACCTCGGTTAACGAATTTAATTCGTTTCTGAAGCCCGTTCGTAACCCGAAATGTTCGTAAACCGAAACTATTTTTCCAATAGGAAATAAAAATAGTGCACAAGTTTATACACAAAACTAATGAAAATCATTAAATCTAAGAAAAAAAATAAACCCAATATTAAACAGATAAAATATCGACAAATATTTCAATTTTACCAAACCTGCATGTAGGAGAGTTTCTGACGTAAATGGAAGGGGAAGGAAAGAGATTTTATTGTTGGGAAAAAGGGGAAGGAAAGGTACGATTCTCTCATTATTTATAAGAATAGTATAGATTGTTGATTTTGTCATATGAAACTGAGTAAAAACAGACAATATCATCAACAATTGTTTTTCTCTTAATTTTTCTTTTTCCTTTACCAGTATCAGTGCTAGCTTTCTTTGGAGCCATGACTGAGGACTAATGAAGAGAAAAAAAGGCACAGTACAATAAAATTGGAAAAGAAAAGCACAGCACAACACACGAATGTATACAACATGGCGGTCGACTCGGAAATGATTTCGTTCGGGTTAAATCGGTTCGGCTCAGTTCTACAGAACCGAAATTTTGTTTGATACCTATTTTTATCTTGAATTTTCTGTTCGAAAACCGATTTCTTCGACATGTGAGACGTTCGAGAACCGAGGTTGCTCTGTAATTATAATAGCATTGATATATGATATCAATATTTTCTTACATCTTTACTTTTCTACCTTGGATCAAAGTATAGTATCAGCCTTTGTGTGGACAATCTATATATTATCTCTAAACTGTGCTTATTTCTTCGGACCGAACACAACAAATAAATGAGGAGTGCTTGGTTCCGAAGAGGGACATAGTTGGGGAAAACAATTAAGAGGAGTCTGTGAGAGAAAAAAAAGGGGTACAAAAAGGAAGAACGAACGAGAGAGAAAAAAAAACGGAAAAAAGTAAAACATAAATATATATGAACATGCAGGTTGGCCATCACCAATCCGGCAGTTACGGTTCAATCAGAAATCCGGCATTATAAGAATAATTATTTTATCGTGAGCGAATATTATATTAACAAATTTATTGAGATTAACAATAATTTTTCCGTCTATGTTTCTGAGTTGAGGTATTATGTACACTATTTACATTATTCCAACTATTGACCTCATCTTTGTCGCCATATTTATTACAACGTTTCGGCCGTTTATTTCGATCACTGGGGCAGACTGTTCTAGTCCCACGTACCATGTTTAATGGATGTCAGTTGTCAGTTATCTCCTGTTAATTCCCCTCTGGTGACAGGACCCAAAGAGTGTGAGTTCAATACCCGGTTACGTCAGTGGAGAACTTGGAGAGGGGAATTAACAGGAGATAACTGACAACTGACATCCATCAAACATGGAACGTGGAACTAAAACAGTCTGCCCCAGTGAGCGAAATAAAGGGTTTAGTTCGACATTCCAACCACCTGAAGAAGGCCGGAGCGTACAACGGCCGAAACGTTGTAATAAATATGGCGACAAAGATGAGGACAATAGTCGGAATAATGTAAATAGTGTACATAATACCTCGACTCAGAAATATAGACAGATAATGAAAGGCCGAAACGTAATATATATGGTGACAAAGATGAGGACAATAGTCCAAATAATGTAAATAGGGTAAAAAATTTTCTATATACAACCCCCACTATTTAACCCATACCCTACCTTTCCCAAAGGTAATTACACGTAAGTGAATGGATAGCGCGGAGACACCGTGGAGCAATGGGTAGCGGTTCGGATTGAAGAAACGGAGGGACAATTTCGAATTCTAGTCGAGTTCATTAAATTCACTTAGGTGCTAATCCCGTTGGGAAAGGTGTGAATCCCTCTCTTCTCCCCAGGGTAAATAACAAGACAGTCTGTGTCATAGTGCCTAAGTTGGTGACTAGTCTAGGAGAGGGATAGCTCTGAATTAAAACCAGCCTGGAGAGGTTTGGGCTTCGTCAGGACATCCTGCCATAGGAACACCACTTCTACTGCGGCCTCAGTACTTGTAGTGTCTCTTAGCACCTTAATTGAGGAACTATTGATCGAAATTTAACAGCAGGAAAGAAATATTATAACATTGTTTCTACAAGGAGGAAGAACCATTCTACTTGTTTGTCTGTTTTGTAAATCATTATTATCCGACGTGAGAGTAATTTTAGTTTTTGCCGAGTGTCTGGACAGATTCTCTATGACTGCTTGGTGGCGCCAACTGCTGATTTATCTGTTTCTAGTCACTTCGAAACATTAGTCAGCGATTTCTACTTGTCTTTTGTGCACTTTTATTATAACATGCTGATGTTTAGCCTCATCAGGGATCCAATGCGTATAAGAAGTTCTTCCCGCCGTACAAATGTCATAGGGGTTAAGGTCATTTTTACTTCTTTTTCCTTTATGGATCACAGAAAAACTCTTCTGCCTGACATCAGCATGGTTGATGCTAAACTTTAGGAAAGCAACAGACTTGGCCTCACGTTTTCCGCTAAAATGGACCCACCATATCGAATCAATTGCTACTGCAAGAAAAGTAGGTTCACTGTGTCGTTCCAAAAAATCTTTCTCGTCAGAATCCATCTTGCACATTTATAAATCTACCATTTGTCCGTACATTGAAAATAGCAGCCATATGTGGTCTGGTGCTTCAGCTGTATATCTCGGGATTCTTGACAAAATCTAAAGAAAGGTTTGTAACGTATTCGATCCTGACCAGGCACCTCTTGTCACTTTCTCACCGAAGGGACGTGGCTTCCCTCTGTATTTTCTACAAATATTTACATGACAACTACTCTGATGGGCTTTTTTTCCCTTAATTTAAGCAAGGTACGAGATTAGCAACTATGTCTCACAGTTTTGCTGTTGAAATAGCGAAATGCCATTTCTACTGCAACGGTTACTTTTCTCGCACTTCCCACCTGTGGAAGTCCCTCCCTATTTCTTGCTTCTCTGATAACTACAATCTTCAGAAATTTAAATGCAATTTTAATTGCCATCTCCTTTCTCCTTTAACCCTGTTCCATTTTTGTTCTTTCCTCAATCCTTCCCACTAAAGTCTTCTCATTCTATTTCACTCCCTGTAACCGCCTGCGTTCTCGTGGCATTTTCGCTTGGCTTAGGGTGAACAAAAAGTGATTGACAGAGTATTTTAAAGGTAGGATGAAGTGGTTATCAGTTGTTTTAAGAGTATTCTATTGACCAAATCTGATATGAATTCTCAATATGATTTTACGTAGATAAATCACAAATTTCTTGAGTAAATTTCATTTTTCATTCTTTTCGTTCGAAAATCTTTCAGCACATCTTTCGTAATTTTACAAATAAGCCGGAGACGATGAAAAATATGAACTCTTCACAAAAGGAAGGAAATGAAAGAGAAAAGGCCGGATTACAAGAGATTTGAAGTGTTACCAAGGCCTCACGCCTATATTGAACTTTGGCACAAAACGACTTTCGAAAAGGGGAAAAACAGATGGAAAAGAAAAAGTATCAATGGCCTTTTGCCCTCACCCCAGGCTTTGGCTACAGTTTGGTATTGTTCCAAACCGCCTTTCATTAGGATCAACGAAAAGAAATCTTTGGCAAAATGTCCGTTCTTCTTCTTATTATTATTATTATTATTATTATTATTAGTAGTAGTAGTAGTAGTAGTAGTAGTAGTATTCGTCTAATTATTGTTCTTATTCTTCGTCTTCTTATTTAAACGAATCAAAAGCACATAAGATTATGAAACATTTCAAAGAAA